AGGATAGTACTTGTATTTATAGGTACTAACATGTGGCAGTGTTCATTAGTTTCCTGCAGTCTAATAGGGCCAAATGTGTAGACATTGAGACTTTACTGTGGAGCAAATTAGGCAGCTCTGCAGTAAATGTCTTGTGTAGATGTGTCCCCTATGCCTAAAACTAAGCCACTTATATATTCCAGGACCCTGAGACAACCTTAATTCTGGCATTTCCCAATGTCTGACTGCTTGCCTTTGCAACCTTAACATTATTGTAACATAGTAATTCTCTTCTACATTTAATTTATATATTGCTGAGCTTTCTAAGCAAGCCCTTGGAATAATAACGCAGCCTGTATACCTCTTTAACAATTGGAACACAATTTTCTCTCTCTACCCAAACTGTGAGTAAACTAAAAATATATATATATCTCAGAGTATCTACAGGGTTCCAAAAATACCCTACATTTTGCCTGGTACTCTACAGGTTTTCACATCTCAATCATATCTCTAATGCTGTGTCCTTTTATCACACATGATGATAATGTATGTCCTTTACTGTAAAAATAGAACATTCCATAGCTTCTAGAATTCTCACTCTTTGCACGGCAGCTATGCTGTTCATCATCATTTCAGGTGCATTTGCTGGAAGGCCACTGTAAAACACCTCAGTGTAACATATGCTGCAAGGAAATTAGAATCCTGCCAAATGAGGGAGTGGATTCAACACATCTATGCATGTGAATGTTACCTGTAAGATACAATAACATATGCCCTGGAGGAGAGATATAAATATCTGTTTATTAAGAGCCAGTTCCAGTGATAGTCATATCAATCTTAAATCTCAATACTGTACAAACCTATCCGCAACTTTAAACCAGTGAGACAATGGGATTACTCAGTAGTGTACAAAAGTGAGCAAAAGTGTATTGACAGATTCACGGAAGTTCACAGAAGTTTAGGGGTGGAAGGGACCTTGTGAAATCTTTGGGTCCAGCCCACCTGCTCTTTATATGGCAGACTTTAAGTTTGATCCTCATGATCAAGACCCTGAATGGGCTTTGCCTCAGCTATTTCAAGTGCTATCTTTCTATGAGCACAAATAAGCTTTGTAGTAGTTCTCACTGAAAAAAAGACACAAACAACTTGAACCTGAACAGGGTTATAATTTGACAAGGAATATGGGGGGTAGGGGTTGGGGGTTTTTTTGTACAGGTGTTACAAGTTCAAAAGAACCATAGTTAAGAAAATTATTTCAGCAGCAGAGAAGCTCAAGGAGAGGGAACATATATTACAAATATAATGTGACTTGTGCCTCCTGGGTCTGGGGGGGCACTCGGGGTTCCCCCATGGCTGATCGCCAAGCTGGGGAAGCATGGGAGGGGGAAGGCCCAGCACACTCCCCGGCAGACCCAGAAGTGGATTGGAAATACTTCCGGTGCACTTCTAGGTTCACCGCTGAGCACCTGGGGGGGGCCCCTCTACACTCTGGTGGGATGCCCCAGCATCACAACGTTCATGAGAAACGCTGGTACCTCGAGGTATGTAGAACATTTTTTAAAGCTGTATCTATGTCTGAATCGCTGATTCTCTGAATCAGCATCGAATCTTCAGATCCAGATTTGAATTAATTGAATCAGGGACAGTGATCCAAATCAACGAATCGAATCACTGTCCCTGCTTCAAGCTGAACCTGAATCTGAATCGAATAGGGCCCGCTTTGCACACCCCTAATCTTCAGTTTCTAAAAAGAAGCACGTCACAGCTGAAAATAACCATTTCTACCAAAAGTAACATTCAGATGACTAGAACTAGGTAAAAACATGAAAAACAATGTCATCTGGTGACATCCAATAATATTACAAAATACCTTTAGTTTTTCTGGTGGTGGCCCAGTGTTGAACAACAACTTCCACTTTGTGCAATATTGAAAAAGAATTTTGCCACCTTTGGAACAAAATGTGTGTTCAGTTCACATTAGATTCCCTATTGCAACTACATTAAAACAGTGTGAAAAGAAAAACCAAATATCTTTCATTACACATAATCAATAACGGCTGTGTGAATAACTACTTTTTCAGTTCAGTGGCTGAACTAAATGAATGAAATAAAAAAAGATTTGATTTGGATTGAACTGAAATAAACTTTTTCATTTTTTTCTGCAAACAAGAAATTAAAAAAAAAAAGTTTTGGGATAAATAGAGAGTTTGGATCAACCTGAAACACAATGTTTCAAATCTATTGTGGGCATTAGTAATCAAACTGAAGCTATAAAAATGAATAGCTAGACTTAGGCATTGTTTACAAATCCAAGGAGGAGAAGAGAGTGCTCAGGAAACTCACCCCTTTATGCTGATGGCCTAGGGCTAAATACTTCCTCTATTTGAGGACTTGAATCCATGCCACCCAGGAAAGTGACTCAGTCACCATGTTCTCAAGGATTCTGGGGTGGAAAGTTATTAGATCTCTCTTGTTGATTCCATTCTACTTTTTATAAAATACTTAAATACTCACTATGCAAGAAAAAGATTGAAAATAATTCTGTAGACTGATGGTTAGAGTGTTCATCTAGGACACTTTGGTCAGATCTGTCCCATAGAGCTGTGTCATCCAACCCACTGGGCTCCCCACAGGTATGAACATTTGATGGCAGGGAACAATAACCATTCCCCTGCTGACAAATTTCCAGGCCTGGGGGAGCCCAGTGGGCCACACAGCGTAGTCCTCCATGCTAAAGCAGGTTCATGTGTCTGCAATGGCACAGGGCCCAGTCCAGGCATGTAGGCCCAAGGGCTGTTTTTAGCTTGAGTGGCCTAACCATGAGGCTACTAGATAAAAGTGGGTAGCCCTACCTCCCCATCTAGGTGAGTTTACCACATGGTTTGGGGGTGATCTAAATAACTTTTTGCTGCAAATAAATTATCCACCACATTTTTTCCACTGCAAATCATACTGCAAAAGAATATAGTATGAAAGGCTACAAAAGTCTAGTCTCCTAATACTGTTGACAACCACACTATATAAAACTTCTTAAAACAAGTTTGTCTTCGCTCTGCTATTGGAAAGCTCTTTCACAATTTTACTTCTCTGGTGGTTAGAAACCTTCTTGTAATTTTCATTCTTAATATATTCATGGCTAATTTATACCCATACACCGTTTCACTTTTATACAACTTGTATGCTTATACTGGAACTGAGAAGGGTTACTGCAGAGCAAACAGGCATACCTAAACTAGCTTTAATTTAGCTACCTCAGATACCAACAGCAATGAAGGCTCTACTGTGCCTAGGATAATAGGGCCCGTATGCCTAATTAAGACATCTAGGCTCCATCACCATACAAAATAATAGATACTGCAATATTCTCTTTTAGCTAGATAGTTTCACTTATGATTGTACTCTCTTACATTATGCCTGGTAGTGGTCATTCATCCCAACTTGACATCTCTGCTGTGGGTACTCCTGCAGAGAAAGTTTGGATTTTATCCAAATGATGGGAAATTTTGCCCATTTAGATTATCTGAAGCTGATAAGCTTTCTACTGGAAAGTTCCCATCTGGCTAAAAATACTGCTACTGCATTTTTTCAGGGATGTGACTTCTTTGCAAATGACCCTACACAACATTCCAGAAATAAAATTGTAAAACTTCTTCAAATCTATATCATGTATAATGTGAGCTATTGTTCTAAACATGTTATTCTTATATAGAACAGAGTTTAAATTGAACTTAGGGAACTAGTGGAAAATAAATAATGTCAACACTTTCTGGAAAGAAGAATGCATTCTTTAGTGGTAAATATAGAGAGATCTGTGAAGTCCCTTATAAAAATGCTACAATATTTGATGGTAAAGGTGTCTAGTAACAAAGATTCTCTATAATAATACTATGTATTCCATAACATGATGTGCATTATGAAAATATACCATATTGCTAATAGTAACATGTTTTTTCTCTCCTCTCATACTTTATTTCTAAACCTATGCACATGATTTTTGCCAATTGACTTCTGTGTTATAAAAAGATGTGCTTAATGTTAAGCATGCATTTAAATCCTGTTTTGAATAAGATTGTTTTCCTGAATTGGGACCTAAGTTTGTGGTTTGATATGACTGTTTTTCTGCCCCGTAAAGTGAAGATTAATGTCTTTCCTAATACAAAACTTTCTGTAATACAATTTATACAATATCTGTATAAAATGAAATTGAAAATAAAAAGATTTCTACCACAATGCTGGTGACAAATTGTAATGTATGGCTGACAATGCAAAAATTGTTGAGCTATACAAGTATTTCCATTCTGTGTGTATAGAAGACAATTTATTTCAGTAAAATGAGGCTGTGCAATGACAACAATAGGATATAGCATGGGTGTAAATATGTAAGAAAGCAGTAGAGAAGGAGAATAAATATAAATAAAGCATACATGAGCACCTCTTTTTCCTCATACAGTGAAACTTTCTGTCCTTTGTGTAATTTCCCCCACCAACCCTGCATCATATATTTTAATTGCATGTAAATTACTAGTAGTACACGTTGCCAACTTAAAAAAAATGAAAGGACTGGATTATCAACTGTTATAAGAAGACACAGTTTCTTAGAAATCACTAGAGCAGTGGTTCTCAACCATTTTAGATTAAAGACACCCCTCATTTGACGCAAGTCAGAAAATGTCAGATGTTTGCTTTCACTTGCTTTTTGATGTGAAATTATGGAAATACAATAATGCAATTCTTCTGTTTTAAAGAACTCAGAAAGGCCAAAACTGGTTAGAATGTTTTTGACACTATATATTCCTATTTGAAATTCCTGAGTTTGTCTTCTGAATCATGTGTAGGTGTTTGCACATCTAAAAGTGCTAATATTTCATTGCACCCTGGTTTAAAATCTTAGCACTAGAACTGTTGTGGTTCACATAATCTGTGGATCTGACCTCAAAATCTTAGACTCTGTTTAAAAGATTTTTCACAACCAATCTCTTCCTTTAAAAGGTCAAAGTAGACAATTTAAGAAAATAACTTACCAGATGGGTCAAAGGCCACCTGGTTGCCAGGATGGGGTCCTGCATCTATAGATACCATTGGTGATACCTTCCGAACATCCCACAGCTTCATCACACCATAGGAGTCACAGGAAACAATAGTGTCACCCTGCCAAGTATTGAAAAATAAATTACTTTTAAAAAGCTTATGAAAGGAAGAGAATGCAGAGATGTTAAGTTGTTATTTTATGAATACCAAAAAGCAACAATTTGATTAAAGTGGCAACTGACCAGGTCAGAATGGGGAAATTATTGTGGTTTGGTTTATTAGAATTTCCTGTGTAACTCTATTGCTTTAACTTATTTTGGGGTAGTGCCATAGTGTGCTCCTATGGTGCTCATATCCAGTGGTGACTGTGTGGGGGAGGCAACAGAGCAACTTCCAGATAAAAAACTTCCCCATCCAAACTTGTAGTTGAAAATCTTGTTCTGCCATAGTCCAAAGTTACCAGATCCAAGGACTATAGACCCTTAAAAGGCTAGGGAGTTGACAGCATGCTTGGAGAAAAAGGCAACCTCAGAGAGACAGAGACTGTGAAGACTCTATGAAGAATTAATCCCACACCAAGATCCCTTGTAGAAGATGGTAAATGCCTGATAAAGCAGACGTGTTTTGTCCATTTTGTTGTTCTTAACATTTTTTTTCCTGGAATGTTTCTGTTCTAAAGAAATAGTTAAAGATGTTGCGTGGTCACTTATAAACACTATGATTGCCAGATCTAACTTGCTCAGGAAACAAATTCTGGAAACATGGGTAAGATACAGGCTACTAAAGCATGTAAAAGGGAACAATGTTATGTTAAATATATTTAAGGTTTATGCATTTAAAGTTCTGTCAAAACTCAGAGAGAACAATTGGTCCAAAAGTTACCCTATGTACCTCAGCTAGGAAAATGTAATTTTGGTGTGGGGTGGCTCAGGATCACAAGAGGCACTGATATAACAGCAATTGAGGACATACGTTATGTTTGCACTTCATACTAGTGTGAATGAAGGGCAGACACACAACATAAACCTCTACAGTGGTATAAGAGCCTTGAACCCAGGATAAAGTTGGAAAACTCTGTAGTGAAAATATAGTGGTATAAGTCAGGGGTTCTCAATCCTTGGGCCATGGCCCAGTGCTGGGCCACAGCAGGTCGGCTGCCGGTCAGCTGCTGGACCGGAAGTGGCCACAAACCGGCAAACGGCGGCCCCACAGAGCTGGGCAGAGAGGCCAAAGCTCCTTTTGCAGGGCCTGCGGCAGCACAGGGTTTGACCCACCCTGCCACCCAGAAGGTGGAGGTATCCTTACCTGCCTTTGGGATGGAAATTCCAGCCACAGTCAGCTGTGAATGCTGGGGCACAGCTTGCTGGGCCGTGGTCACTTCTGAGCCATGGTTTGCCAGGCCACAGGATAAAAACTTTGGGAACCCATTGTATAGGTTACACAGTGGTGAGCATCACATGTTCACTTCTGTCTTATAGATTCATAGATGTTAGGGTCAGAAGGGACCTCAGTAGGTCATTGATTCCAAACCTCTGCCCTGGGCAGGAAACAGCACTGGGGTCAGTCAACCCTAGCTAGGTGCTTGTCCAGTCTCCTCTTGAAGACCCCCAAGGTAGGGAAGAGCACCGCTTCCCTTGGAAGCCCATTCCAGATTCTGGTAACCCTTACTGTAAAGAAGTTCTTTCTAATGTCCAACCTAAATCTGCTCTCTGTCAATTTGTGGCCACTGTTCCTAGTTACTCCAGGGGCTGCCCTAGTAAATAGAGCATCTCCTATTCCCTGCTGCCCTCCCCTGATGAATTTATAGGCAGCCACAAGGTCACCTCTCGGCCTTCTCTTGTGAAGGCTAAAGAGATCTAGGTCCCTCAGTCTCTCCTCATAGGGCCTTGCCTGCAGGCCTATGACCATACGAGTGGCCCTCCTCTGAACCCTCTCAAGATTCTCCACATCCCTCTTGAAGTGTGGCACCCAAAACTGGATGCAGTACTCCAACTGCAGCCTGACCAGTGCCACATAGAGAGGAAGCATCACCTCCCTGGACCTGTTTGTCATGCATCTGCTAATTCATGATAAAGTGTGGTTATCCTTGTATCAGGGGAGGGGAGTTCAAGACGAGTGATTGCTCCTCAAGGGAGCAACCCTGGATGCGCAA